TTGAACAGCAGATATATTCTCATTGTGCCCAGAGAGAGAAATATTTGCCTCTACCTAGGATCGAACTCTCAGCCTCCTGATTGCGAGGTGAGAGCTCCACCTCTAGGCCACGCACCATTCCTCGAATGGTCACTAAATGAACTATTGTAATTCAAGAACCGCCTGTAAACTAAATAGCCACATTTCAAATGTGTTAAATACATGAACTGTTTCCAGATTTCAAACCGTTCAAGATCCACGTGGTATATGGAGCACGGCTTACGTTTATCAGGTTTCCTTTAAGAATGACTTGTTGTAATTTAAAAATAATAATTAAATTAAAAGTGGGGGGTTGGGCTGGGTCGAATAGCATGTTCCTTCTTTTAACTCACAGATCCAATTTTCCTCCAGAACAGCAAGGGAGAGGCCAAAGACCCATTGTTGGGATCTGTGGACCGGCCCGCTGTAAGGAAGGAAAATTTTCAGGTAAAAAAAAACCTTTTTCTACTTTTTATGGATTTCTGCATTGACATGTTAAATGTAACTTTGTCACTTAAACAATGAATTGTGTGGGAGCCCTAAATGTGAACAAACCTGAGTGATTAGCGTCTATTTTCTAAGTAATTATTCTCCACCCACATTTATTTTTCAATTGTTTATTTGCCACATTTATTTATTTATTTATTTATTTATTTATTTATTTTTATTTATTTATTTATTTATTTATTTATATGAGCCATGGTGACGCAGTGGTTAGAGAGCAGTACTGCAGGCTACTTCTGCTGACTGCCGACTGCCTGCAATTTGGCAGTTCGAATCTCACCAGGCTCAAGGTAGACTCAGCCTTTGATTTGTCAAGGTTCCAAGTAACACCCCCAATGAAAGAAGACTCTGAAGTTCCTCAAAGTTCCATTTTATTAGAGAAGTCATATTGGCACATCTGGGAAAACCCGAATCTGAAAGCTTCCAGGTTTTCCTGCACCCTCCAGGTGCAGGACAAGATGTCCTTGACTCTCAGAGAAAGGAATGTTATTATGACTATTTATTTCCTCTGATCCATAAATCCCCCCTCCCAGTTTCCCGCAGCATTAAACGTGGCAGTCCTGAAGGTCCAATGTAAAAGATGGCTTCCAGAACTGACACCATATTTCTGAGATTGGTAAAATGAGGCCCCAGATTGTTGGGGGCAAGTTGCTGACTCTGTATAAACTGCTTAGAGAGGACCGTAAAGCACTGTAAAGCGGTACATAAGTAAGTGCTATTGCTATTTTTTTATTTGAAAGAGACATTCCTTGTTTCTTTCTGTTGCTTCCTGAAAGTTAGAGTGAGAGAATGAATAACACAATAACAGAGATGGAGAGGACCTTGGAGACCCTTGTACCATTTCAGACAAGTGGCTGTCTAGTCTCTTCCTAAAAATCTCCAGTGTTGTAACAGCCACAATTTCTGGAGGCAAGTTGCTCCAAGGATTAATTGTCCTCACGCTCTCAAGAGGTTTTTCCTTAGTTTTAGGTTGGTTCTTTCCTTGATTAGTTTTCATCCATTGCTTCTTGTCCTGCCCTCAGGTGCTTAGGTTGACCCCCTTTTTTTTGTGACAGCCCCTCAAATATTGGAAGACTGCTATCATGTCACCCTAAATCCTTCTTTTCATTAAACTAGACCTACCCAATTCCTGCCACTGTTCTTCATATGTTTTAGCCCCCAGACACTTAATCATCTTTGTTGCTCTTCTCTGCACTCTTTCTAGATAGCTAGAAGCAGTGGTGGGATTCAAATAATTTAACAACCGGTTCTCTGCCCTAATGACCGGCTGGGCAGGCATGACTTGGTGGTCATATGACTGTGTGGGCATGGCCAACTCAATGGGTGTGACCAACTCACGTTGCTGGTCAGCCTTAGCTGTTACAATGTAATAAGGGTGAACCAGAGAAGCAATAAAGATTAGACTAGAAACAACACCAGAATGTTTCCTTCCTGCCTTCCTTACAGGATTAGCCCTGTAAAGTGGAAAAAAAACAAAATAAGATTTCTTCCAACCACCGGTTCTCCGAACTGCTTAGATAGTTAACAACCGTTCTCCCGAATAGGTGCGAACTGGCTGAATCCCACCACTGAATCATTTGGAACATTTTGATCACAAAGGGATAATTTTGAGTTGGTGTACAGATTAAAAGTACGTTTCTATGCAGAGGTTCCTTAATGGATGAACCGTAAAAAAAAAAAATATCTCTGATCTTTTTCCATATGAGCTACACTTTTACACTGCCATTTCAGCTCTGATGGAGCAGAATTAAGTCTACCAAATAATGTATGCCATATTTCCCTCAAGCACTTTCCGGAAAAGTGTAGAATGTCAGAGCTAATGAATTACAATTCTCATCCACAAATGTAGGGAGAAGTGAGGGAAACATATGGGAAAAGGGGATAATTTGTGCTAAAAAAGAAGAAGAAGAATGAAGGTATGTTGATAGCATCAATGTTAACACCAACCAAAACATAGAACAACTCAAGAGGTCTGTAAGGGGCGTGCATAAGCGCACCAGTGTGCCTCCCATCCCTGTCCTAATGTTTCCTCTATTTGTATCTATTTTATGTATCCAATCCATGCTTATACTTATTACCTAATACGTTCTTGACAAAAAAGAAAGAAAGAAAGAAAGAAAGAAAGAAAGAAAGAAAGAAAGAAAGAAAGAAATATTGGAAAGATGTTGAGAGACCTGGCCCATAGAATCATCATGTCAGTCCTGCCCCAACTTGATCTCTTAAGTAAGAATGACCCTTGACTGCATTCGGTGTGAAAGGTTTACTTTACTAAAGGCCAAGTGGATTACAATATAGAAAAACCAGAACTGATGTTCGCATGCTGAACTTTCCCGGTTAATTTTCCCCATCCAGTTCTTCCTCCTTGCTAGTCCCCTATTGTCCAAATACATTTGAATAAATTGTTTTTGGAACTGTCCCTTCAATGGCGGGCTGGTTGATGAGCTGTTACATTCTGTTCCCAGTGTTTTGACCTTGAGACGGTGTCTCTGGAAGGTACGATGATAACAATAGTACTTAGACTTATATACTGCTTCACAGTGCTTTTACAGCCCTCTCTAAGCAGTTTACAGAGTCAGCCTATTGCCCCCAACATTCTGGGTCCTCATTTTACCAACACTGGAAGGATCGAAGGCTGGACTCAAACTGTCAAATTGCAGGCAGCCGGCAGTCAGCAGAAGTAGCCTGCAGTACTGCATTCTAACCACTGTGCCACCATGGCTCTTAGTTAGTTAGCCTTTCTCCCTTCTGACCAGCTCCATCCCCCATAATTCATGGCAGATTGACAGCTAGCGAATGCAAAGCTCAAGTGAACGATGGCAGTTCACACATCAAGAGTCCGACATGACTGAATGGATAACATCATTGTCATCATCATGGTCTATGACCGTAATCAATATTTGATTTGAAGCAGTGAACATGGAGACATTATTTAACCTTTTATATATGCCTACTCACTCATTATCTGCCCTCAAACATTATCTGTCTTTTTTTCTTTCAAATTCATGTCTGGTCCTTGTTGGGTGTATAAGAAAGAAATATAGCCCTTAGACTTATATACCGCTTCACAGTGATTTACAGCCCTCTAAGCAGTTTACAGAGTCAGCATTTTGCCCCTAACAATCTGGGTCCTCATTTTACCGACCTCGGAGGATGGAAGGCTGAATCAGCCTTGAGCCTGGTGAGATTTGAACTGCCGAATTGCAGTCAGCCAGCAGTCAGCAGAAGTATCCTGCAGTACTGCACTCTAACCACTGGCGCCACCACGGCTCTTATTATTTCGACCAAAGCAGCTTTTTTGTTCCTAGTATTTTTGTGCACCAATTTTAAGCCCTGCACAAAACACCTTACAAAGCACTATCACAAAAAATAAGACTGACTTCCCTTCCCTCTGAAGTCACAGTAGTGTCCATGTGACCGGCATGGCTGTGGGGATTGAAGAGCCATGGTGGCGCAGTGGTTAGAATGCGGTACTGCAGGCTACTTCTGCTGACTGCCGGCTGCCTGCAATTTGGCAGTTCGAATCTCACCAGGTTCAAGGTTGACTCAGCCTTCCATTCTTCCGAGGTCGGTAAAATGAGGACCCAGATTGTTGGGGGCAATAGGCTGACTCTGTAAACCGCTTAGAGAGGGCTGTGAAGCGGTATATAAGTCTAAGTACTATAGCTATTTGACCAAATTAGGATTTGGATGAGAAAAAGAGAATGACATTTTTAACCCTTAAAAGTAGTTAATAAAGCAACCTCCTGCCGGAAAGCACTGTGAAGCGGTATATAAGTCTAAGTGCTAGTGCTATTCAAAAACACTGGCAGTCAATGGACTTTCTATTTTTTAAAAAAAAGCTCAGTTATTTTCCAGATTTGTGCCACGGCTTCAAAAGCTGCTGGTGCCTGTCCCTGAGAAATGAGCTCTGCTCATCCTCACTGGTTCCCTGGTAATATTTTAGTCTTTTTTTTTTGGGTGAAATCCTAATTGATGGTGGTTGCTTTAGAAGCAGGAAGAAGTTTGGAGTCATTAACGGTAACCTGTAAAAATAGGCAAGGTAAGGCACCTGGTTTAGGAGTCCTATTGGAACCAGTGCAAAAGGACTTATCATATGCAATAAGGTAAAGGTAAAGGTTCCCCTTGCACATATGTGCTAGTCGTTCCCGACTCTAGGGGGTGATGCTCATCTCCGTTTCAAAGCCAAAGAGCCAGCACTGTCCGAAGACGTCTAAACGTCAAAGGCGCATGGAATGTTGTTACTTTCCCACCAAAGGTGGTCCCTGTTTTTCTACTTGCATTTTTTATGTGCTTTCGAACTGCTAGGTTGGCAGAAGCTGGGACAAGGAACGGGAGCTCACCCCGTTACGCGCACTAGGGATTCGAACCGCTGAACTGCCAACCTTTCGATCGACAAGCTCAGTGTCTTAGCCACTGAGCCACCGCCTGCAGTAATTGCAGGCAGCTGGTCTTAATAACCAGCTTAATAACAGGGTGCCTTAAACCCCTGTACTACCAAGTTCAGGGACTTGCACAACGTCTTCCTCCATCATGTTTCTGACTTACCAAGTTCCAGTTTCGTCTTTTCTCTCGTCCTAGATTATGTTTGCGTGGTGGAAGTGGATCTCTTGGAATTGGTCATCACGACGTGGAAAGGAGCTACCGCTGGCAAACTGGTACGTTCCCAGAGGCTGTATCTCCAATCGGTGGAACCTGTGGGCTCCAGCGATGCCTTGCTCGACTCCATCTCCCTGATATTTTTCTCTCTTCAACTCATTACTTTTTTTTTTAAAAAAAAATGGGAAACTTGGCAGATTGCCAGGCAAAACCTTGACTTCAAGCTTATTATAAGTCAAGCTTTTATTGACTTATTCTCCAACGTACCTGAGGATAGAACGGGAAATAATGGGTGGAAGCTTCTTAAAGGGCGATCCAATCACTAAAGGAGAAAGTTCCCGACAAAGGAACAGCTTGTCTCCTGAAGTGGTGAGTCCTCCATCACTGGAGGGTTTCAAAAATAGGTTAGAGAACCGTTTGACCAGGATGGTATAAGTCTCCTGCCTTGAGCAGCGGGGTTGGACTAGAAGACCTCCAAGGTTCCTTCAAGCCCTCTATGTTCTATATTTTAATGTTTATTTTGAAGTGGGTTTCACAGTCAAGTCAGCATGCTTTAAGACGGGTGGACTTCAGCTCCCAGAATCCCCCAGCCAGCATGCTTTAAGATGGGCGGACTTCCACTCCCAGAATTCCCCAGTCAGCATGCTTTAAGACGGGTGGACTTCAGCTCCCAGAATTCCCCAGCCAGCATGCTTTAAGATGGGTGGACTTCAACTCCCAGAATCCCCCAGCCAGCAGGCTTTAAGATGGGTGGACTTCAACTCCCAGAATCCCCCAGCCAGCAGGCTTTAAGAGGGGTGGACTTCAACTCCCAGAATCCCCCAGCCAGCAGGCTTTAAGATGGGTGGACTTCAACTCCCAGAATCCCCCAGCCAGCATGCTTTAATGTGTCTGGAATTCTGGGAATTGAAGTCCACCCATCTTCCAAGTCTCGAAGGTCGAGCAACACCCACTTAGTTGTATGATGGAAATCTGGGGGTCCCTGCCGTCCATGTGACTTGTGTGTCTCTCTCTCCTCCCCCTGTGGGGCAGACCCGGCCCCTCTTTGAGCTCCGCTGCTCCAACAACGTGGTGCACATCCACACCTGTGCCGACTCTTGCGCGGCCCTCGGCAACCTCATCCAGTACGTGGTCAACAAAGGGGACCAGCACCCGCCCCCTCGGCACGACAGCCCCACTGAGATTGCCGGGCAGAAGGTGCAGGTGAGTCCAAAGAGGCGGGTGGCAGGACTCTCTGACCAGGTTAAACCAGGGGTGAAATCTACAAATTTTCCCTACCGGTTCTGTGGGCGTGGCTTAATTGATGGGCGTGGCTTGGTGGTCAGGTGACTGGGTGGGCGTGGCTTGGTGGTCAGGTGACTGGGTGGGCGTGGCCAATAATAAATAATATTATTTTATTTTACTTGTTCAACTTGTATGCCGCCTTTCTCCGAAGACTCAAGGCGGCTTACAATGCATTTAAAAACCATATATAAAAACATTTTAAAATTAAAAACATTAAAAACATTAAAAACTCATTCACTCCATCCATGGCCGGATCTTGCCAGATCGCAAGAGCGAGATCAACGGCCCCAGGCCTGTCGGAAAAGCCAGGTCTTCACCGCTTTCCGGAAGGCCAATAGGGTGGGGATGGTCCGGACCTCGGGAGGTAACTGGTTCCAGAGAGCTGGGGCAGCCACAGAGAAGGCCCTCCCCCGCAGGCCCGCCAGCCGGCATTGTTTAGCTGACGGGACCCGGAGGAGACCAACTCTCTGGGATTTTACCGGTCGCTGGGAGCTATGCGGTGGAAGGCGGTCTCGAAGATACCCTGGCCCTGAGCCAGGTTTACACACACACACAACACAACCAGTGGCGAAATCCAATTTTTTTTACTACGGGTCCTGTGGGCGTGGCTTGGTGGGCGTGGCAGGGAAAGGATACTGCAAAATCCCCATTCCCACCCTACTCCAAGGGGAAGGATACTGCAAAATCCCCATTCCCACCCCACTCTGGGGCCAGCCAGAGGTGGTATTTGCCGGTTCTCCGAACTACTCAAAATTTCCGCTACCGGTTCTCCAGAACCTGTCAGAACCTGCTGGATTTCATCCCTGAACACAACACAACACAACACAACACAACTGACTCACACACAATGTAAAAGCAGCTGCACTTGGCCCAAAACGGCCCCAACAAGCAGGAACCTCACACAGTCACAAAAAGCTCAAAAATCAAGTTTCACACTTTTTCCACGCAAAATGCCACATACAGCTTTGTGAGATTTTGTGGGTTTGTGTAGTCAGAGTGAAACACTACAGAAATGCACCAAATCTCAGAAAGCTACACAAATATTTTATTATTTTGTTTTATTTATATTTTTAGATAAAAGCAACTAAATTTAAAACTTCCTTAACTTTAAATTGCTGTCTAAAAAAAATAAAACTCCTAAAAAACCCCAATTAACTATTTTTTAAAGCCTCCCCCCACAAAACCCCATCTTTCTTCAACCCCCCCTCCTCCTCCTCCTCCTCCTCCTCCTCCTCCTCCTCCCTTCTCCTTTCTCCTTCTTTCTCCTTCTCCTTCTCCTTCTTTTTCCCTCTATTGTCTGAATCATTGATCAAACAAATCCCATGTTGAAAAGTATTCTGTATCTTCTTTATCCTTTATCTGTAATGTCAACCTATCCATTTCTGCACATTCTAGTATTTTTTTAATTACGGTCTCTTCTGTAGGTATTTCTTACGTATAAGAATAATGATAGACGAAGAATATTTATTATTATATCATAGTAAGATGTTATAAAAATGTAAGACGCAAAAAACATTTTGAATGATAAATGTATACTGTATACATATTAGTATGTATAAAAGTAAAAAACCGTAGATATACCTCGGTACAGAGCTGTTGCAAAGCGGAAATTGTAAGGTAAAACGAAGAAAATTGCATAATAAAAATATTTTTTTTAAAAAAAGTCATGCAATATTAAGTAATATTCCCTTTATCATACTTTTCTGGTACTATGCCTAACAAAAATACATCTGGCTCTCTATCTATATATTTATTTATTTATTTATTTTATTTTTTAAAATTTGATTTATATGCCGCCCTTCTCCGGAGACTCAGGGCGGCTTACAATGCGTTAAGCAATAGCCTTCATACTTTTTTGTATATTTTATACAAAGTCAGCTTATTGCCCCCACAAACCGGGTCCTCAATTTACCTACCTTAGAAAGGATGGAAGACTGAGTCGACCTTGAGCCTGGCAAGATTCGAACTTACTTTAATTACAGTGCTTTAGTCTGCAGAGCTATCCAGAGCTATCTACGTGCTGCTTTAACATTTTTTATAACCATGTGTGCATTTTCATCCAAAACATTTTTTGCCTTTTGCACATGTCCACCACATGTGATAGTATGTGCCCGGTGTCTGATTGCATTTCCAACATTTGGCGGACATATTTTGGGACATCTTTGCTAACCTTGCCGCTGGCAGATGCCACCTATAAAAACATTTTGTACAGGTTTTCCTTATCAGTAGTCGCCATTGTCGATTTATAATTTCTATATTTTTGTCCTCTGCTAGTTATCCGAGAGCCCGGCTTCTCTGCCCACCTGTCCCCCAGCTGAGACGGCGGCCATCAACCAGCGAGACCTCACGGACGCCCTCATGGATACCGAGCGTGGATACCAGGAAATGACCGGTGAGATTGGGGTGGAGCAGGGAGGGCCACGTTCTAGCTTGACTTTGGATGACACTTCGCAACACCGGTGGCATTTCCACCTGTGATGGATTAAACAATTAAGAATACTACACTTGATGTTAGTCAAAAGACCTCGGTCTATATACCAAATGAATGACCTATTGGGATCCACGTATCAAAACAAATTAACCTTATGTGTGGCCAGAATTTGAAAATAACATTTAACACAACACAGTTCTTAAGCAAAATGCTTCGGTTGAGATCGGCATATGCGGGACTGATTGGGGTAGGTTGCAGGGGTGGCACCAAAATTGCCAGGGTTCCAAGTAACCAGGGGTGAAATGTTCCCGGTTCAGACCGGATCGCCCGACCCGGTAGCAATGGCTGCGGGTGGTTCGGAGAACCGGTAGCAAAAATCCCTGCCCCCCCCTCCCCCCATGCCCAGCTGAGCCGCACGATCATCAGAGGCTTTTTTTTTTTAACTTTTAAAAACATTTTTTCTATATCATCTTGGAAATGATGATCGCGTGGCTCAGCTGGGATCATCAGAGGCTTTTAAAAGCATTTTTTTCTGCAACCTCTTAAGGTTGTAGAAAAAATGCTTTTAAAAGTAAAAAAAAAACAACTTGGCCACGCCCACCCAGTTACATTACACCCCCCCGCTCCACCAAGCCACGCCCACAGAACCAGTAGTAACAAATTTTACATTTCACCACTGCAAGTAACCCCCACCAATGAAAAAAGACTCGGAGGCTTGAAGTTCCTCAAAGTTCCAATTTATTAGAGATGTCATGTTGGCACATCTGGGAAAACCCGAATCTGAAAGCTTCCAGGTTTTCCCCACCCAAAAGATAGTCCAAGTCCCTTCCCCTGCACCCACATGTCCATCACATGGCCCAATCAAAGCACCGTCCCAACTAGAGAGGCCTCCCAGTCACGCCACTCCAGGTGCAGGGCAGGACGTCCTTGACCCTCTGAGAAAAGAATGTTATTATGACTACATATATATATATATCTATCACCCTTGCTCCGTACAATCCCCCCTCCCAGTTTCCCACAGTAGAGCCTGAGTGACGTAGGAGGCTAATGCCTCCTACTAAGGCAGCATTTAACATCCAGCTGCCTGCAATTACTGCAAGTTCAATTCTCACCAGGCTCAAGGTCGACTCAGCCTTCCATCCTTTCTAAGGTGGGTAAAATGAGGACCCAGTTTGTGGGGGCAATAAGCTGACTTTGTATAAAATATACAAAAGTATGAAGGCTATTGCTTAACGCATTGTAAGCCGCCCTGAGTCTCCAAAGAAGGGCGGCATATAAAAATAAATTAAAAAAAAAAAAAAGTAGGAAATGTGGCAGGCCTGAAGGCCCAATGAAAAAGATGGCTTCCAGGCCTGACAGAAATAACAATTTTATCGTATTTTATTTATATCTTAAATGATTGTATTTTATTCCAATTTTAGGTGGTATTTTATTCAGTGGTGGGATCCTTCCGGTTTAACAACCGGCTCGGGGATCGCGCGGTTCACACGCGCCCGTGCCAGACACATGCTGTGCACGCGTGTGCAGTTCAACAACAACAAAAAATCACCTTCCGTGTTAGTGCTAGGGAATTAAAACAGCTGAGGTGTGGCAATCCGCTCTGCCGCGCTAATCAGCTGCGAAGTTATAGGTAAGTAAAGCTCAGGAGGCCCAGCTTATCACGGGAGGTACCGGTTCGCCTGAACTGGTCCGAACCAGTAGAATCCCACCCCTGATTTTATTCCAATTTCATTTTAAATCGTATTTTATTCCAATTCCATTTTAAATTGTATTTTATCAAACGTTAGTAGTAATTTCTGGAACTAGTAGTAGTTTCAGTTAGTTAGTAGTTTCTACAACTAGTTAGTAGTTTCTGGAACTCTGCACTTTGAGATGGCCCATAGGCTAATCCAGGGGTCAGCAACCTGCAGCTCTGGAGCCGCATGTGGCTCTTTCACCCCTGTGCTGCGGCTCCCTGTCACTCAAAATCTGCGTCACAACCGCCAATGTGCGACACCCGCTGGCAACGATTTATTGAGCTTTTCAACCCCCGGTAAGCCAACCATGGATAAATCCAAGAAAATAAAAGTTTCAGAAGAAAACAGAACATTTAATTCAATTACATACGCTAGTTTTGTGGCCACTCAGGAAATCGTCAGGCACGGGAAGGTTTTTGTGGCTCCCGGTGTTTTCTTTTCTGTGGGAAACGGGTCCAAATGGCTCTTTTGAGTGTCTAAGGTTGCAGACCTCTGGGCTAATTAACCAACCAATCAATCAATAAAAAAATAAAATAAAATTAAGAATAGAATGAATGAGCCAGAAGGGACCTTGGAGGTCTTCTAAGTCCGGCAACCCTTTGGAGTTTGCAAGGTTGTCAAAAGAAGTTTTGAATGTCCCGGCCTAGCTCCCCGTTCTGGGGATTTTGGGGGTGTGCCTCCTGTCCAAGGGAGTGCAACTTGTGCGAACGCGGCCATTCAATCCTCTTTCAAATGCTCTTTCCCCAGGGGACTCTGGGATGAGACGGCAGCCTTCGCCCGTCTCGGTGTATCTCTTCCCCGGTGAGAACGGGGCGGCAGGCCAAGGGAAGGCCCCCCCTCCCCCAGGGACCCCAGTGGCCGAGGGTCTCGATTTCAGCCCTTCCGAGGACAGCGAAGGGGAGAGCGAAGCCACGGATGGGTTCTGCATTTTGGACGCTCCGGGAACGGGCATTCCGGTAAGGATTTGGCTGCTTTTGGGTGTCTCCTTCAAGGGTCACAGCGGGGAAATCTTCTGAGAAAAGTTATGAGAGGGTCAGCACAGTGAAGAATAGAATAGAATAGAATAGAGTAGAGTAGAGTAGAGTAGAGTAGAATAGAATAGAATAGAATAGAATAGAATAGAATAGAATAGAATAGAATAGAATAGAATAGAATAGATAGTACAATACAGTACAATACAATTACAGAATAGAATAGTGGAGTAGAATAGAATTCAGACTAGACTAGACTAGACTAGACTAGAATAAATAGAATAGAGTATAGAATAAATAGAATAGAATAGAATAGAATAGAATAGAATAGAATAGAATAGAAAATGGAATAGAATAGAATATACAATCTACAATACAATACAATTACAGAATGAAGTGGAGAGTGGAGTGGAGTGGAGTAGAGTAGAGTAGAGTAGAATTCAGAATAGAAAATAGAATAGAATAGAACAGAATATAGAATATAGAATAGAATACATAGAATAGAATAAATAAAATAAAATAAATAGAGTAGAATAAATAGAATAGAATAGAATAGGAAAATATACAGAACAGAACAGAATAGAATAGAAAATGGAATAGAATAGAATATACAGAATAGAATAGAATAGAAAATGGAATAGAATAGAATAGAATAGAATATTCTTTATTGGCCAAGTGTGATTGGACACACAAGGAATTTGTCTTTGGTGCATAGGCTCTCAGTGTACATAAAAAGAAAAAAAGACATTCATCAAGTATCATAACACTTAGTGATAGTCAGAGGATACTAAATAAGCAATCAAAATCACACTACGTGAGAAACTAAATAAAACAATGTAAATCGTAAAGATACAAGCAACAAGGTCATAGCCCTAAGTAGAATGAGATGGGTAATAGGAAGGATGAGAAGAATAATAGTAACACAGTCTTAGTGAATAGTTTCACAGTGTTGAGGGAATTATTTGTTGAGCAGAGTGATGGCTTTTGGGATAAAACTGTCCTTGTGTCTAGTTGTTCTGGTGTGCAGTGCTCTATAGCCTCGTTTTGAGGGTAGGAGCTGAAACAATTTATGTCCAGGATACGAGGGGTCTGTAGGAAGGTTCTCCCTGCGTCAAAGCCAGGAAGCTCAGGCTGTACCAGGAGCTGCTGATCCGTTCTAGAGAGGAATTATGGAGTCTGTCGTTCATTCTTTTGATAACTGTCTGGTTTGGCACGGCCACCAAACGGGACAAGTCCCGACTTCATCGGATAGTTAGGACTGCAGGAAGAACAATGGCAACCAGCCTGCTTTCCATCAAAGACCCGTATCAGAGGCCTGAGAAAATATCTACAGAACCCTCACATCCTGGACGTCAACTGTTTCACTTCCTCCCCTCCGGATGGCGCTATAGGGCACTGCATGCCAAAACAACCAAACACAAGGACAGTTTTTCCCCTCATGCCATCACTCTGCCAAACGCTTCATTTCCACAGCACTGTCTTAGATCTAAGGATATTTACCCGTGTTGTAGGACTGTAGTAGTCGAAGTAGTAGTATCCTTCCCATCTTCTTTACTATCCCCTCTTATTGGTGTCATTATTACGATCATTATTACTCTGTTGCTTTGCAACACTGCAACTCACGGACATTGAGAGCTTACAGAATAACAGTGCATCCTCTCCTCTCCTCTCCTCTCCCCTACAGTTTTTCTCTTCTCTTCTCCTCTCCTCTCCTCTCCTCTCCTCTCCTCTCCCTCCTCTCCTCTCCTCTCCTCTCCTTCTCCTCTCCTCTCCTCTCCTCTCCTCTCCTCCTCTACCCTACAGTTTTTCTCCTCTCCTCTCCTCTCCTCCTCCTCTCCTCTCCTTCCTCCTCTACCCTACAGTTTTTTCTCCCTCCTCTCCTCTCCTCTCCTCTCCTCTCCTCTCTCTCCTCTCCTCTCCTCTCCTCTCTCCTCTACCCTACAGTTTTTCTCCTCTCCTCTCCTCTCCTCCTCTCCTCTCCTCTCCTCTCCTCTCCTCTCCTCTCCTCTCCTCTCCTCCTCTACCCTACAGTTTTTCTCCTCTCCTCTCCTCTCTCTCCTCTCCTCCTCTCCTCTCCTCTCCTCTCCTCTCCTTCCTCTCCTCTCCTCTCCTCTCCTCCTCTACCCTACAGTTTTTCTCCCCTCCCCTCCTCTCCTAAATCCTATTCCATCCCATCCCAATTTTCTGTTCTGCTCCTATTCCTGCTCTGTTCTTCCTGTGAGATGCAAACCCACATTGGTTCTCAATTTGGCTATTAAGCAGTCCCATTCATCTAAAAGCTGATCCCCCCCCCACAAAGTTGACCATAGTCAGCCAGGAGTCGATGCAGTGCCAGTATTTTCCCAGCTCCATTTAAAAAAAAGGCAGTTTTTCATGCACCCTGTGTTGTGGCCTTCTAGCTGCCAACAGAGCTGGTGACAGACTCAGACGATGAGGAGGAACTTGGGCCAATGCTGGAGTCTGGGGAAGGCTCTGATGGATGCTCTGTGTCGGACGCAGAGATAGAGCCAGGGCCGTCCGACCTTTCCCAGTTGCCGGAGAGGCAGCTGCCTTCGGAGGCTGAGATGAGTGGGGAGGAAGAACAGCTGGGGCCTGTTCCAGATGCACGTATGCGCAGAGCAGTTAGGAGAGGAGAGCAACGGAGGACAAGGAGTCGACTCGGGAAGCAAAGCACACACTGAATGGCCCCTCCCTGGCTGGGGAATAAATAGAGGGAAAGGGGAATGGTGATCGTAGGAGACAACCGTTCGTATTTCTGAAGATTTTGCTCATTGTGTTTCGTGCATCAAAGGCTGCTTTTGCCAGAACTTAATTTGCAGCCTTTCGGCTGGGAGCTCACGCCCTGGCAATTATCGCAAGGAACTGAGAAGGTCTGTTACTGCAGTTAACTCCTTGAAGGACTCTTGCCTGGATTTTTCGGTGTGTGAATGCCATGAATTCACAGGAGATAAATAAAGGGTTTTTTTTTTGTATGTGACAAGGAGTCTGTTTCTTGGTTCTGCTATGGCTGGATCAGAACACCCTGGACCCTCCTGCCTTTCTGTCTCTGCAGCCTCGGGATGGCGAACCGGTAGTGACCAAGCTCTTGGAGGGCCCCGTCCACATCCAGGAGGGCCACTTCTCTCGGCCCCTGGGCAGCACGGATTTATTGAAGGCCCCCTCCCACTTCCCGGTGCCGGAGAGCCGAGTCGTGATGCGGGAAATTTCGGTGGTCTGGCATCTCTACGGGGGCAGAGATTTTGGGCCGGGGCGCTCGCCTTCTGGACACATGCATTCCCCCAGGTAATTCTTCCTTTTCGGGATCTGCTCTCTGCTTTCGTCCGACAAGTTTCTGAGCTAAGTTGGCTTCCCTGTTTTGAAGATCAATCGTTTGAGAAAAAGTTCTCCTTTTTTACGTGGATCGGTGTTTCTCAACTGCAGGTGGTCCTCGATTTAAACAATTCATTGAGTGACCATTCAAAGTTACGACAGCACTGGGGGAAAAAGTGATTTATGGCCGTTTTTCTCAGGGTCACCTGGTCAAAATTGGGATGCTTGGCAACTGGCTCATATTTATGACCGTCGTGGCGTCATGGGATCCCCTTTTGCGACCAGCGAAGTCAATGTGGGGGTGGGGAGGAGCCAGGTTCACTTAAGAACCGTGTTACGAACTGAAGAACTGCAGTGATTCACTTAGCAACGGTGGCAAGACGAACTGTAACGTGGGGTGAAATTCGCTTACCCAGTGTCTCCCTTAGCAACAGAAATTTTGGGGTCCACTGTGGTCATAAGTCGAGGACTACCTGTATAAGATGGGTGGACTTTAACTCCCAGAATTCCACAGTCAGCAAAGATGGAGAATCCTGGGAGTTGAAGTCCACCCATTTTACAGCTGCCAACTTTGAAAAAAACTGATGAAGGTGAAATTCCATAATGTTGGCAAGAGATTGGCCAGATCTTTTGGGGGATATTAATAACCAATCAATACCTGATCACCACTTTTTCCCAATTTCAGGACGAAATCAAGCCTTCCCAGCACCCGTTCCTCCCCCTCTCGGTCTTCGGTGTCCAGCCGACCCCAGAGCTCCTGGCGGGCTCAAGGAGGCCCCGGTCGTATCCACGACCTGCTGATGGAAATCCAGCTTACAAAGGTGAGACGGGCAGGGGCTGCTCTGCAGGGGTGGGAGGAGGCTTCCTGAGCAGCCTTGATTTCGGGGCAGTTTCGGGGCAGCCAGAAGAGATAGGCAGCAGCCCCATATTTTTCAGTGGGGAAGAGGGAAGGGAAGGGGAGAGGAGAGGGAGGGAGGGAGGGAAAGAGAGAGAGGAGATGAGAAAAGAAAAGAAAGAGGGGAGAAGAAAAGAGACAGAGAAAGAAGTGAGAAGAGACAATAGAAGAGAGAAGAAAAGAAAGAAAAAAAGAGAATATATAAGAGAAGAGCAAAGAGAAGGAGGGAGAGAGGAGAGAGAAAGGAGATGAGAAGAGAGAAAAGGAGATAAGAAAAGCAAGAGAAGAGAAGGGAGAGAAGAGAGAATAGAAAAAAGAAAAAAGAGGAGCAAGAAAAAGAAGAGAAAAGAGAAGAGAAGGACAGAGAGGAGAGATGAGAAGAAAGAAAAGAAAAGCAAGAGGAAAAATGCAAAGAAAGAAAGAGAATAGAAAGAGGAGAGAGAAGAAAAAAGAAAGAGAAAGCAGGAAAAAGAAAAGAAGAGAGAGAAAAAGATGAGAGAAGAAAAGAAAGAAGAGATAGAAGAGAAAAAAGGAGATAGAGAAGACACAAAGAAGAGGAGAGAGAAAAGAGGAGAAGAGAGGAACAAAACCCTGGAAGCAGATATCCAGAGGGCAGTGGGGCAACGTCAGACAACGGTGGCAAACAAGTACAGGCAGTCTTCAGTTTACAACATAACATTCATTTAGTGACCAAAGTTATAAAGGCGTTGAAAAAAGTCATTTGTGACGGTCCCTGCACTTCCCCACGGCCACATGATCGTGATAGGGCGTAATCCCATGATGCACAATTTACCAACTGATCTGCTTCATAATGAATTTTCTACTCTTTTTTGTGGTCCTAAATTGAGGACTACTTGTATACGCTCGTTGCCAAGAGTCCAAATTTTATCATGTGACCACGAGGATGCTGCCATGGTCGTACGTGTGAGGACAGGACTTAAGTCACTTTTTGCACAGTCACTGAATGAACAGTTGTAAATTGAGGATAATCTATACAGGTAGTCCTCAATTTACAACTATTCGTTGAGTGACCGTTCAAAATTACAATGGCACTGAAAAAGTGGACATGGCCATTTTTCACAGTTGTGTCCGTTGCAGCCTCCCCATGGCCATGTCATCAAAGTTCGAACGCTTGGCAACTGGTTCATATTTATGACGGTCGCAGCGTCTCGGGGGGGAGTCACGTGATCCCCTTTTGCGACCTTCTGACAAGCAAATTCAGTGGCTGAAGCCGGATTCACTTAACAACTGTGTGACTAATTCAACAACTGCAGCGATTGACTTAACAAATGCAGCAAGAAAAGTCGTAAAATGGGGCAAAAACTCACTTTAACAAATGTCTCACTTAGGCGCATAAATTCTGAAGTCAGTTGTGGTCGTAAGTTGAAGACTATGTCAGGGTTCCAAGTAATAGACCCATAGCAAGCAAAACTCCGAGGCAGGTAGATTCCTCAAAGAATAGCTTTATTGGACATACAGTATCATATTGGCACAGATCTGGTAAAAACCGACTCTGAAGGTTCCCGCAGTTTTCACCTAATTAAAAATGAAAGTTTGTCACTTTCTCAAAACAATCAGCCGCATGGTCCAATCACGGCTCTGTCTGGTTGCCAGGTGACATCACTCCGCCTTCCTCTGACCAGGCGTGAGAATGACCTTGGTTCCCAAGAAAAAGTATTTTGTTTTGACCACAAAATCCCATCTATCTCTAATCTCCTCTCCCTTATCCCTCTTCCAAGATGGCTTCGGTCAGGTCACCTTCAGGGTTGACAGACTACCTGTAGAGACGGCCTGTGTACATAGCTCGTACTGTGTCAGTGATGCTTCCCCCTTCCTCTCTGCTCTCAGGTGAGTTTCCAGCACGAATCCTACTCGACTGGAGCATCCGAGAAGCCATCCCTGGAATCGGAGGAGCAGCCCTTAGCCAGGCAGGTGTTCGTTGTCCAGGAGCTGGAGATCCGAGACCGCCTGGCCTCCTCGCAGATCAACAAGTTCCTCTACCTGTACAGCAGCGAGCTCCTGCCCCGGAGGGCCCATTCTAACATGGTAAGAACCAGATTGGGGTTGCTCGAGCCGGCTATCAGCTGTTTCCGTTAGTCTTGCCCTGGGGAAAGAGACTGGGGGTTTCTGGTTCAGTTCCCACAACATGCTAAAACCAGGTTAAAACCAAGAGCAGTGATTCAACCTGGAAATAAGGAGGAATTTTCTGACAGTGAGAATAATCAACCCATGGAATAGAAGTTGCCTTCAGAAGTTGTGGGAGCTTCATCACTGGAGGCTTTCAAGAAGAGACTGAACTGCCATCTGTCAGAAATGGTGGAAGGTCTCCTGCTTGGACAGTGGGTTGGACTAGATGACCTTCGAGTTCCCTTCCAACTCTGTTAATCTGTTTAAAGTCCCAGAATTTCCCATCCGGCAATACCAATTCTCTTCCTTCTTTTTTTTTTTTCCAGCTCACCATCAAAGCTCTTCACGTCTGCCCTGAAGCTGGCGTGGGGGGTCCCGAGTGCTGCCTAAGGGTCTCCTTGATGCCTCTCCGACTCAACATAGACCAGGTAAAGGACGCCTCCCTGTTGATCGGGTGGCAAGCTCAGTCAGGAGTTGTGAGACGGTGGATGAATTTAGCTCCTTGCCACTGAGCTACCATCCTTTACATGAATTGGGCAAAACCAAGACAGGAAGAGGAGGGGTGTCTGGATTCTTCTACTTTTGCAGTTCCGGCTGAACTTTCCAAACTTGCTTGGGAAGGATAAGGGTATGTGGGAAAGATCTATGAAAAATGGGGCAAGAAAGCCTGTCTAGGGAGCAATTAGATAAAGGGGCAAGTTAGCCCAGAGTTGTATAACGGGCAAAGAAAAAGGTTCAGAAGAAACCCTCCCTAGTTTCTCAGGCTGTAAAAGACACGAGTGGAAGATATGTACTTTCAGAATTGAAGGATTCTATTAATGTAGCTTTAGGGAACAGTTGGATAAGAGACAGCTTAGCCCATAACTGTATAATGGGCGAAGAAAAAAGGCTCAGAAGAAACCCTCCCTAGTTTCTCAGGCTATGAAAGACATGAGTGGGAGACTTGCACTTTCAGAATTGAAAGATTCTATTAATGCAGCTTTAGGGAACAGTGAGATAAGAGACAACTTAGCCCATAACTGTATATCGGGCAAAGAAAAAGTCTCGGAAGAAACCCTCCCTAGTTTCTCAGGCTGTAAAAGAGATTGAGGGAGGGGGTGGGGAGAATTGTATCTTCAGACTTGCAAGACTCTGCCACTGTAAATACAGGTAGTCCTCTACTTACGACCACAATTGAGGCCAGAATTTTATGTTGCTGAGTGAGAAATTTTGTTCAGCGTGTTTTGCCCCATTTTTGCGACTTTCCCTGCCGCGTTGGTTAAGTGAATCACTGCAGTGGGTTCAATTAGTAACACGGATGCTAAGTGAATCTGGCCTTTCCCTCTGACTCTGGTTTGGTGAGAAGGTCGCCAAAGGGTATCACGTGACCCTGGGACACGCCCACCGTCATAGATACGAACCGGTTGCCAGGCATCCGAAAGTAAATCACGTGACTGCAGGTAGATCTCGCCATGGCCATAAGTTTGCAAAATGGTCCTAAGTCAGCTTTTTTCACTGTCGTCGTAACTTTGGACAGTCATTAAGTGAAGTTTTGTAAGCTGAGGTCCACCCGTAGAATTAGTTCATCTGTTTGTGTTTCCTCTCTGGTCCACCTGAAGAGTCGGGAGGCACCTGAGTTGGTGCTTCCAAGGGAGACGGACTTTCCTTCACCCCTTCTCTGCTCTTCTTCTGCTTCCAGGACGCCTTGTTTTTCCTCAAAGACTTTTTCACCAGCGTGGCGGCCAGCATCAATCCCGTCGTGCCCATGGAAGTTGGCCCTGAAGGTAGGTCCCTCCTTACCGTGATCCATGTTGGTGCAGTAGTTAGAATTCACTGCTCACTCCAGCAGTTTGATCCTGACCGACTCAAGGTTGTCCTTCCTTCCAAGGTGGTTCTTCCTTCCGTCCTTCCGTCCTTCCTTCCTTCCTTCCTACCTCCCTCCCTCCCTCCCTCCCTCCTTTCCTTCTAGACGTCCTACTCCTACTCCTACTCCTACTCCTACTCCTACTCCTACTCCTATTCCTATTCCTATTCCTATTCTATTCGCCCTGGTGGCACAAGGTTAGAATGCAGCATTGCAGGCTAACTCTGCCAACTGCCAGTGGTTCGTTTTTGACCGGCTCAAGGTTGACTCAGCCTTCCGTCCTTCCGAGGTGGATAAAATGAGGACCCAGATTGTTGGGGGGGGCAAGAGGCTGACTGTGTAAACCACTTTACACAGTGTGCTTTACACAGAGAGTGCTGTAAAGGCGCTGTGAAGCTGTATGTAAGTCTTATTGCTACTGCTATTGCTATTACGTGGCCTTCTGTCCGAGCTAGGCCAGAGTTTCCCAACCTTTTCCAGGTCTGTGCCACGGATCGAGGAGAGGGGATGATTTGGTGGGAAAGGCAGGTGCATGCATGAGCTCCTGCGACGTTCGTGCAAGTGGGGACACAAGTTCCCACAAGGAGGCTTGTTTGAGTGGGATAGTGAATACCTGTGACGACGTTCACGCGAGTGGGAACACGAGGACCCACACCGAAGCCCATGCGAGAACGTGACAATGGGAAATGTAGTTTTTGCCCTATCGAGAGGGCCAAACTGCATTTCCCGGCCTCTCAGCCTGGATTGCAGTTCTACTGTGTTTGTCTTTCTTTGGCTGGGGATGATGGGTGCTTGTCTCAAGTCCTGGGTGCACAGAAGAGGGTCGGGAGGAGTTTTGTGGGACAAGAAGGGCCTTTAAAAAGCGGTCACCCCTCCAGGTCGTGTCGAGTCCCCCGGGAAGGACTCCGAGGCAGCCGAGAGGATGATGGCGACTTCAGTGGAGACCACGACCAGTGAAAACAGCTCCAGTGCCTCCTCTTCCTCTGAGCAGCCCATTTATTTCCGGTATGGATGCAGGGGGGGGGGGTGGGGGGGGGGGGCGGGAAGGGGGTTGTAAGGGTGGGAAAATGGATGGGGACCCTCAGTGGAACAAGGGATGCCCCTCCGGAGTTCAGATCGAACACTGTTTTGCAACCTCAGCAAGTTGAAGACGGGTGGACTTCCAACTCCCTGAATTCCCCAGCCAGTTTAGCATTAATCTAATTTTTGAAGTTTAGTATTTCCAGACAGGACCGATAAGGAGAGAATGCTGGGGGTTTGTTAAAAAAAATTCCGAAGGTGGTATGCAATCAAGCCACACCCCCTTTTCATATTTGTGTATCTGTTTGTCTGTTTGTGTGTGTGTGAGAGAGAGACAGACAGACAAAAGAGAGAGAGAGAGGTACAAAGAGACAGAAAGAGAGAGAGAGAGAAGAAAGAGACAGAGACAGAGAGAGACAGAGGGACACAGAGAGAGACACACAGAGAAACACAGAGAGAAAGAAAGAGAGACACAGAGAGACACAGAGAAACAGAGAGAGAAAGAGAGAAAGACAGAGAGAGACACAGAGAAACAGAGACAGAAAGAAAGAGAAAGAGAGAAAGCAAGAGACACAGAGAGAGACAGAGAAAGAGAGATAGAAAGTGACAGAGACAGAGAGACAGAGAAAGAGCGAGACAGAGACAGAGAGAAAGACAGAGAGACAGAAAGAGACACAGAAACAGAGAGACAGAGAAAGAGACAAAGAAAGAGGGAAAGAGAGACAGAGAGACGAGGAAGAGAAAGAGAGAAAGAGAGACAGAAAGAGAGACAGAGAGTCAGAGAGACGAGGAAGAGAAAGAGAGATAGAAAGAGACAGAGAGAGACAGAAAGAGAGAGACAGAGAAAGAGAGATGAGGAAGAGACAAAGACACAGAGAAACACAGAGACAGAAAGAGAGAGACGAGAAAGAGAGACGAGAAAGAAAGAGAGACACAGAGAAACACAGAGAGAGACAGAAAGAAAGAAAGAGAGAGATGAGAAAGAGAGACACAGAGACACAGAGAAACAGAGACAGAAAGAAAGAGAAAGAGAGAAAGCAAGAGACACAGAGACACAGAGAGAGACAGAGAAAGATAGAAAGTGACAGAGACAGAGAGAGACAGAGAAAGAGCGAGACAGAGACAGAGAGAAAGATAGAGAGAGACAAAAAGAGACACAGAGAAACAGAGACAGAGAAGGAGACAGAGAAAGAGAGAAAGCGAGAGACACAGAAAGAGAGACAAAGAAAGAGAGAGAGAGAAAGAGAGACAGACGAGGAAGAGAAAGAGAAGAGAGATAGAAAGAGACAGAGAGAGACAGAAAGAGAGAGACAGAGAAAGACAGAGAAAGAGCCAGACAGAGACAGAAAGAAAGAAAGAGAGAAAGACAGAGAAAGACAGAGAGAGATCCTTCAAAAAGATGGGTGTTCATTACAAGTATTCCTTGCCTTACGACTGTTCTTTTATCAATGGCTGAGAATTATTACAGACCTCCTTGGGGTACTGATGACAGATTTTCCATTAAAGGTGGGAGTGAAAACTTCGATCCAGAAAATGTCCCCTCCTCTCCCAGCCTCCCAAAAATGGGACAGGCCATCACACCAGCTGTTTTTCTTTCTTCCTCATCAGGGAATTCCGTTTCACGTCCGAGGTCCCCATTTGGCTGGATTACCACGGGAAGCACGTCACTGTGGACCAGGTGGTGAGTAGCTAAAGCCACACCAAGCCCTTTGCCCCCCAGGTTAACAGAAATCACGGAATGACAAGAGTTGGAAGGGACCTTGGAGGTCATCTAGTCCAACCCCCTGCTCAGGCAGGAAGCCCTGTACCATTTCAGACAAATGATTGTCCAATCTCTTCTTAAAACTTTCCAGTGTTGGAAATTCTGGACTGTGCGGAGATGGATAAATTTAACGAAAGGAATAAAAGAAAAAGAAGATACAGAATATGATCAAGTATGGAATAAGTGGTACGATTGGCTAAAGACTAGGGAAGGCAAAAGAGAATAAAGGAGCCTTGGTGGTGCAGCGGACTAAAGTGCTGTTAAAGTAGCACTTAGCTGCCAGCTGCCTGCAATTACTGCGAGTTCAAATCTCACCAGGCTCAAGGTTGACTCAGCCTTCCATCCTTTCGAGGTAGGTAAAATGAGGACCCGGATTGTGGGGGCAATAAGCTGACTTGGTATAAAAAAGAACACCGCTTGGGGGGGGGGGGGCGAAAGCCCTACTAAGCAGGTCTATACAAAAGTATGAAGGCCATTGCTTAACGCATTGTAAGCCGCCCTGAGTCTCCGGAGAAGGGTGGCATATAAATCGAACCAATAAAACAAACAAACAAACAAACAAACAAACAAATGATGTGATAAATGTGTAAAATATTGTAAATGAATAAAACTAGAAATAAAGGGACAATAAAAATAAAGACAATAAAGAATGAGAAAAATGGGGAATGTGGAAAGTAGAAAGTAAGAGAAACGAAACTGATATGTAAAAAGACACACGCATGGCGTGTTGATGTTTTGTATGTTGTGTTGTGGTGGTGTTGTAAAATCAATAAAAAATACTTTCCAGTGTTGGAGCATTCACAACTTCTGGAAGCAAACCGTCCCACTGGTTAATTGTTCTCACAGTAGACAAATTTCTCCTTAGAAAAACCAAAGGGGCAAGTACAGATTAGGTAAAACCTGGCTCAGAAATAAATAACTGTGAGACGGACCTTGGAGTCCTAGTAGACAAACGCTTAAACACAAGCCAGCCATGTATTGCAGCAGCCAAAAAAGCAAATACAATCCTTGTGTCAGCACGTCAAGATGCATTTATCCTAGTGCTGACATAAGGATGCAGGCATCTGTAACGGGACGGTTGCCTTTCACCTACTTATTTCCTCTGGAGATAATGTCCCCTAGGAGATGGATGGGAGGGGGGAAATTCTTTGAATTGGAGCAGTAGATTAGGGGTGAATGATTGGGAAGATGGCCAATGAATGCAGAGGAGTGGGGGAAGGAAGAGGAGGGGTTTTGGGTCAGCACGTCGGTGCCGGCTGCAACGAGTCGGTGTAAAAAGTGCTGGGCTTAATAAAATGGAAATTTGTTTTATAAAAGACTTTGTTTGCGATGCAATTTATTTGAAGACAGCCTGAAAAGCTGACACCTTGGTTGTATAAACAGAGGGATAGAATCAAAATCAGGTGAAGTATTAGTACCGCTTTATAAAGCCTTAGTAAGGGCCACACTGGAATTCTGCATCCAGTTTTCGGTCCACACTACAAAAATAAATGTTGAGACTTTGGAAAAAGTGCAGAGAAGAGCAACTAGGATGATTAAAGGCCCAGAGACCGGTTGCAGGATTTGAGTATGGCCAGTCTAGAGAAAAGAAGGACTAGGGGGGACATGATAGCAGTCTTCCAGTATTTGAGGGGCTGCCACAAAGAAGAAGGGGTCAAATTATTCTCCAAAACACCAGAAGGCAGGACAAGAAACAATGCATGGAAACTAATCAAGGAGAGAAGCAACCTGGCAGGTGGCACCTTCCTCCTGCCCGATTATCCAAAATGTTTCCTGGACTCTCCCCAAACTGTTGGAAGTGTGGGGAGCTAGGTACTTATTTCCATGTATGGTGGACCTGTCCCAGGGTAATTGAATTTTGGAAACTTATTCAGAGGTGGTTGTTAGAAATTACTGGCTACAAATTACAACTGAAACCTGAATTTTACTTATTAAACGTTAGGCCAGATAAAATAGGCACTAACAAATGGTATCTGATTGTCTATATTACAACTGCAGCAAGAATATGTCTCACCCAAAATTGGAAGGGTAAAGACCTACTGTCTGAAGATATGATTTTAGGGAAAATTATGGAATGTGCAGAAGCCGATAGGCTAACAAAAATTTTAAGAGATCAGAAAGATTCCGCATATTTCCAATGTTGGGACCTATGGTATGTTTGGTTAAATAACAGAATAAAAAGAGGACAATGTTAGCTTAGTTTTTATTTCTCATTTGTATATTTGGACTGAATGTAATATATTGAGTAAGGTTCTCACCGCGATCTGTTTGTTGATAAACTTTCTTTTTGTATTTTTCTAAAGAAATAAAATTTATTTAAAAAAAAAAAAGGAGAGAAGCAACCTGGAATTAAGGAGAAACTTCCTAACAGTGAGAACAATTAACCAGTGGAACTGCTTGCTACCAGAAGCTGTAGGTGCTCCATCACTGGAGGCTTTTAAAAAGTGACTGGACATGCACCTGTCTGAAATGGTATAGTGTCTCCTGCTTGAGCAGGGGGTTGGATTGATTGAGTTCACACACGTTTCCTTTATTTTATTTATTCGTATTTCACATTCTTCCGCCAGCCTCCCTCCAAAGAGGGACTCTGGATGGTAAGACAGCAAAACATCAAACTATAAAAGCAATGTATGACAATTTAAAATGTTGAGGTTTAAAATGTTGGAATGAAACATTTTAAAACTTTATAAAAAATACTTTCCCCTCTCGTTGCTTCCTTTCCCACTAGGGCACCTTCGCTGGCATTCTGATCGGTTTGGCTCAACTCAACTGCTCCGAGCTGAAACTGAAGAGACTCTGCTGTCGCCATGGGTAAAGAGACCACCCCCCTTCCCTCTGTTACTTAGGGGTCAGGGAAGTGTGGGGCAGGATTCTAACAATGCATATGATCCGGAGGCTTTCAAGAAGAGACTGGACTGCCATTTGTCAGAAATGATGTAGGGTCTCCTGCTTAGGCGGGGGGTTGGACTAGATGACCTCCAAGGTCCCTCCCAACTCTGTTAATACGTGGCCAGGAAAGAGGGTGGATTATGAAGGGAGGAGGCTCTCTGACCCTCTGGTTTTTTAAGGCTTTTTCCTTGCTTGATCTGTTTATCTTTTAAAAAAAAACCACAACGTATTTAACCAGGATACCACACACACGCACACAAACAGAGTTTCATGAGTATTAATTCGGGCTGGGAAGGATTGATACTCCTTGCAGACCGCTGGACATTTGCATCCTTATAGATGGTCACTGAGGCCGCTTGGAGGTTTCTCTGGGTCCTCAGGGTCACCCGAGTAGCGCAAATGGGGTGTGGAGCCTTCTTGGAACTGCTGAAAGGACTTCGTTGTAGACTGGAGATAGATGGTGTACACTGGGGAAACAAAACAACCACTTCACAAACGCATGGCACAACATAGGAGAACAAACCCATCAGGAGAAAATCCAGCAGTCCATCTGCATTTAAAAGACAAAGGCCGCTCTTTTGAAGGCAGCAAAGTCCACGTTTTGGACAGAGAGGACCGCTGGTTGAAAGAGGGGTCCAAGAGGCCATCTGTGTCCAAATTGAACAGCCCTCCCTCAACAGAGCGGGAGGGATACGGCATCATTTACTCACGTTTCCCCGAATATAAGACCGGATCTTATATTAATTTTTGCTCCAAAAGACAAATTAGGGCTTATTTTTCTGATTAGGGCTTATTTTTTTTTAGAGAAATACAGTACTCAATGCATCCATCCGGCTGACGATCTTAACGGGGGCTTATTTTTGGGTTAGGGCTTATTTTACGAGCATCCTGGGGGTGGGGGGAGAAATCATGCTAGGGCTTTTTTTTTTTTTTTTAATTTGATTTATATGCCGCCCTTCTCCGAAGACTCAGGGCGGCTTACAATGCATTAAGCAATAGCCTTCATACTTTTGCATATTTATACAAAGTCAGCTTATTGCCCCCACAAACTGGGTCCTCATTTTACCCACCTTGGAAAGGATGGAAGGCTGAGTCAACCTTGAGCCTGGCGGGATTCGAACTTGCAGTAATTGCAGGCAGCTGGTGTTAAATTACAGAGCTATCCAGGCTCTTATTTTCCAGTTGGGTCTTATTTTCGGAGAAACAGAGTATCTCCAGTCTACAACACAGTCCTTTCAGCAGTTCCCAGAAGGCTCCAAACCACTCGGTGACCCTGAGGACACAGATAAGCCTCCAAGTGGCCTCAACGACCCTCTAAAAAGGACGCAAATGACCAGCTGTCCAGAAGGAATATCAATCCTTCCCTTCCCCACCATCCCGTCAGAGCTGAAGAAGCTTCTTGGATGAGAAGCGAAACGTCTTCAAAGAAAAAAACCTAGAAAGTTGCCTCTTGAAAAAAGCACCTGTGGGACGTCTACCTGTACGCTGCCCCATCGGTGCCCCTCCTCTCTCTTTCCAGGCTACTAGGGGTGGAGAAGGTGGTCAGCTACACCCTGACCGAGTGGCTGACAGACATCCGTAAAAACCAGCTGCCGGGCATCCTGGGAGGGGTCGGGCCCATGCACTCCTTCGTGCAGCTCTGTGAGTTGGCCCCCTCTGTCCCCGTTTGGGTGGGAAGTGGGTGGGTGGGCTGCACGCCTTCTCCTTCTCCTCATCCCCTCCCTTTTTTTTCTCCTCCTTCCCCCCCATCCAGTCCACGGCCTGCGGGACCTCTTCTGGCTGCCCATCGAGCAGTACCGCAAGGACGGGCGCATCATCCGTGGCCTGCAACGCGGCGCCGCCTCTTTCGGCACCTCTACCGCCTCAGCGGCCCTCGAGCTCAGCAACCGCCTGGTGCAGGCTATTCAGGTTTCCAAGGAGGGGTCCGCTCAGGGAGGGAGGGAGGGGTCTGCCAAAGCCCAGCCCAAAATGGTGGGTGGGGGTGGGGGAGCAGAATCTAGACTCAGGGGTGGGCAACTAAGGTGACTGAACCACCTGTGGACTTCAACCCCCAGAATTCCTCAGCCAGGCAACTGTTCCACTTTTAGACTTCAGTTCCCAGAATTCCTCAGTCAGGCACCTACCATCTGTGGACTTCAACTCCCAGAATTCCTGAGTCAGGCAACTGTGCCACTTTTAGACTTCAATTCCCAGGATTCCTGAGCCAGAAACTGCCACAGTGGACTTCAACTCCCAGAATTCCTCAGTCAGGCACCTACCATCTGTGGACTTCAACTCCCAGAATTCCTGAGTCAGGCAACTGTGCCACTTTTAGACTTCAGTTCCCAGAATTCCTCAGTCAGGCACCTACCATCTGTGGACTTCAACTCCCAGAATTCCTGAGTCAGGCAACTGTGCCACTTTTAGACTTCAATTCCCAGGATTCCTGAGCCAGGAAACTGCCACAGTGGACTTCAACTCCCAGAATTCCTCAGTCAGGCACCTACCATCTGTGGACTTCAACTCCCAGAATTCCTGAGTCAGGCAACTGTGCCACTTTTAGAATTCCCAGAATTCCTGAGCCAGGAAACTGCCACTTTTAGACTTCAGTTCCCAGAATTCCTCAGCCAAACAACTGTTCCAGCTGTGAACTTCAACCCCCAGAATTCCTCAGCCAGGAACCTACCATCTGAGTGGACTTCAGCTCCCAGAATTCCTCAGCCAAGTAACTGTACCACTTTTAGACTTCAATTCCCAGAATTCCTCAGCCAGGCAACTGTTCCAGCTGTGGACTTCAACCCCCAGAATTCCTCAGCCAGGCAACTGTACCGCTTTTAGACTTTAACTCCCAGAATTCCTCAGCCAGAGACCTACCATCTGTGGACTTCAACTCCCAGAATTCCTGAGTCAGGCAAAATATACCACTTTTAGACTTCAATTCCCAGAATTCCTGAGCCAGGCAACTTGTTCCAGCTGTGGACTTCATCTCCCAGAATGCAACTGTACCACTTGTAGACTTCAATCCACAGGAATTGAAGCACAGGGAATTCTGGGCGTTGAAGTCCACAGGTTATACAGTCGCCGTAGCTGGCCAGGCCTGACCCAGACCCCCCCCAAGTCTACCCCTTCTCTGGGGAGAAACTCGGCCCTCCCCTCCTTTATAGATGTCCAACCTTTCCCCCCCCCTCTCTTTTTTCCCCCCTCTCAGGCCACAGCCGAGACCGTCTACGACATCCTGTCTCCCACGGCTCCGCCGTCCCGCACACTGCCGGACAGGAAATACGCCCGCAAACTACGACGGGGCCATCAGCCGGCGGATCTACGCGAAGGGGTGGCCAAGGCCTACGACACCGTGCGCGAGGTGATCCTCCCCGGGGTTGCAGGCGAGGATTGGGGGGAGAGATTTAGCCCCATCTTTGGTGTTGGGGAGGGGCTGACATCCTTTTTCTATCCCCCCCCCCCCAAAAAAACCTTTTATTTAATCCTGTTTGATTCTCGGAGTCCGTGTCTGGACAGATCCCTGCCAAGGTTTTTCAGCAATGTCTCTTTACCATTGTCTCTTTTTGTGGGCTCAGAGACAGCGACTGGCCCGAGGTCACCCAGCACAGTTGGACTAGAACTCCCAGTCGCCCGATTTCTTAGCCCGGCTGCCTACCCAACAATATCTAATTTATGGCTGTCATCATTTTTAAAGCGAGTCCATTGCCACTAAGTCGATCATCGGTCGTTAAACGAACCTATTGTTAAATTACCTTAAGACAGGAGGCGGACATCAGTTTTCGGCCCCCAAAAAATTTAATATTGTCGTTCGTGATCACGTGACTGCGGGATGCTACAACTGGGCGTAAATGCCGGCCAGTTGCTGAGCCCAAAATGCATAGAGCAACAGGGTTGGGGAAGGGACTTTGGAGGTCATCTAGTCCAACCCCCTGCCCAAGGAAGGAGACCTCCAGTGGGTAGCCTTCACCTGAAACCGTTTGTTTAGTAGTCACGGTTCAAAGTTACAACGGCCCCGAAAAAAGTGTCTTGCAGTAGTGGTGGCCAGAATTGTGGAAACCTTTTGGGAAAAGTGTATTTTTGAGGTTTGATGGCTAATAATACCACTTTTTTTATTTTTATTTTTTTATTTTTTATTTTTTATTTTGGAGTTTCAAAAGATAATCCTATTCCACTGCTGGAATGGCCTGGGAATAGCCCAGACCTTCACCCCATTGAAAATCTATGGAGCCGACTAAAGAAACTTAATCAGAAACAATCCAGCAATAAAACCCAGTTAATAGAAGCCATCATTCGATCTTGGTTTTGCATTATGACAGCTGCAGAACTCAAAGACTCGGTTCCCTCCATGGGAAGACGTTGTAAGGCCGTCATTCAGGCTAAAAGTTACCCAACTAAGTATTAACTGACATGGTGATAATTTTTGTATACCTCGTTTTTTCTATGTTTCCCTTTTCTTCCTTATACCGTAACTGCAATTCTAATAGCAAATCCTTCCTAAAAGTGATTGCATCACATTCTTAATTAAATTATCTTTCCATCGATATATAATTATATGGTATCACTCCCAAAAATGTGGTGCTATTAGCTAGTTTTAGAAAACACACTTTTCCCAAAAGGTTTCCACAATTTTGGCCACTGTAGGACCATTTTCCACACTTACGACCGTTGCGACATCCCCTGGATCGAAATTCAGATGCTTGGCAATTGACTGACACTTAACGACGATCGCAGCGTCCTGGGGGTGGGGTGGAGTGTCTCATGATCCCCTTTTGCGACCTCCTGACAAGCAGAGTCAATGGGGAAGCCGGATTCGCTTAACAACCGTGTTACTAAGCTGCAAGTGATTCACTTAACAACGGTTTGCAGGAAAGCTCATAAAATTGCAAAATTCATTTAACAAAACTGGCTGGCTTATCAACAGTAATTTGGGGCTCGGTTGATGCCATAAATCGAGGAATACCTCTACCCTCAACCCAGTAGCCGAGTAGAGGGACCTTTCTTGCCCCCAACTCCTCTTTCCTGTCTCCCCCCCTACAGGGCGTCATAGACACGGCCCAGGCCATCTGCGACGTGGCTGCCCGCGGGCACGAGCAGAAGGGCATCACGGGGGCCGTGGGCGGCGTCCTGCGGCAGATCCCTCCCACCGTGGTCAAGCCACTGATCGTGGCCTCCGAGGCCACCTCCAACCTCCTGGGCGGGATGCGGAACCAGATCAAACCCGACGCCTTGAAGGAAGAATCGCTCAAGGGGCGTTGGGAAGAGCCAGGGGTTGCTGGGGGGGGGGGGGCTCCTTCACCCCCACCCCCACAGGATCCAAACCACGGACCCAGGCCCCGCTTGGTCATTTGCACAGCCACAGAGGAGACGGCCACAACTCTGAGGAAAGGGGGGGCGTTCAATATGGCCTGGACAGGAGCCCACCCACCCAGCCGCCAGATCCCGCACAAGGCCGCTAAGGGTTGGCAGCCATCTCCTCCCGCCTCGCCCTTATTTCTGTACTTTTGGGGGGGGTCTCCCGCTGCCCCCCCCCTCCGTGCCTTGTCCTCCAGGGCTTTTCCCCCCCCCCCAAACAAAAGTACTTTGGGGGGGCAGAAGGGGAGAGAAAAAAATAATTTGAGATTAAAGGATGCGACTCGTTTTCAGCTCTCGCTTGCTTGGATCCTGGTCAGATCCTGGCTTAATGATTGGCAGGTGGGCTCCTTGGATTTAAGGGCCAGCTTGGAAACCCAAGATATACAGCCGTGGTGTTTTGCATTCGCCCGGTTTTCCGCGCGGTCCGCGTGGCAGGAGGAGGAACAACCGGACGGATTTTTCCAAACCGCGTTGGGCCACGACAGTTGCCATCGCTCCGGTTACAGCAGGCGTGTTTTTCGCAAAGGAGCCGAGTTCGAAAGAGTTGAGCTGGCAGTCTTTGCGGTTGCCCAAATGCCATTTTGACTTTTTTTTTTTTTTGGACTTTCTGGGAATTCTCTCCTGCTTAGCGTATCCCGAGATGCAGCTCAAAAAAGATGGTTTAATGTTTGAGGCCAAATGTGTGATGTATCCAATCAAGGTTTTTTTTAAAAAAAACAAACTTCAGTTTCTTTAATCCTAATTTTGCTTAAATCCGACCCATGATGGGTTAAATTTGCCGGGGTTAGATCAAACCAGGGGTTAAATCCAGCAGGTTCAGACAGGTTTTGGAGAACCGGTAGCGGAAATTTTGAGCAGTTCGGAGAACCGGCTAATACCACCTCTGGATGGCCCCATCTGTCAGAAACGGTGTAGAGTCTCCTGCTTGGGCGGGGGGGTTGGACTAGATGACCTACAAGGTCCCTTCCAGATGTGTTAATCTGTTAAAAAAAAAATCTGTTAAAAAAGCCAATGGGGAAACCAGAATCACGTAACCGGGTTCCTAATTTAACAACTGCAACGATTCACTTAGCAACTGCGGCAAGGAACGTCATACAATGAGGCAAAGCTCACTTAACAAATGACTGACTTAGGAACAGACATCTCAATTGTGGTCGTAACTTGAGGACTACCTATATTAGTATACCCGTAATGTTTTTAACAGATTAACAGTTGGAAGGGACCTTGGAGGTCATCTAGTCCAACCTCCGTCCAAGTAGGAGACTCTACACCATTTTTGACCGATGGCAGTCCAGCCTCTTCTTGAAAGCCTCCAGTGATGAAGCTCCCAGAACTTCTGAAGGCAACTTCTGTTCCATGGGTTGATTGTTCTCACTGTCAGGAAATTCCTCCTTATTTCCAGGTTGAATCTCTCCTTGGTCAGTTTCCATCCATTCTTCCTTGTCTGGCCTTCGGGTGCCTTGGAGAATAGCTTGACCCCCTTCCTCCTCTCCGGGGCAGCCCCTCAAATATTGGAAGATGCTCTCCTGTCTCCCCTGGTCCTTCTCTTCACTAGACTAGCCAGGCCCAGTTCCTGCAACCGTTCTTCGTATGTTTTAGTCCCTTTGTTTTATGTTTTAATCTTTGTTGCTCTTCTCTGCACTCTTTCTAGAGTCTCAAAGTGTTTTTTCTAGTGTGGTGACCAAAACTAGATTCCAACTGAGGTCTTATCAAGTCATTATAAAGTTCACTTTAACAGATTAACAGGGTTAGAAGGGACCTCGGAGGTCATCTAGTCCAACCCCCCAACCCAAGCAGGAAACCCTACACCATTTCTGACAGATGGCAGTCCAGGCTCTTCTTGAAAGCTTCCAATATTGAAGCTCCCACAACTTCCGAAGGCAACTTCTGTGCCATCGGTTGATTCTTCTCACTGTAAGAAAATTCCTCCTTATTTCCAGCTTGAATCTCTCCTTGATCAGTTTCCATCCGTTGCTCCTTGTCTGGCCTTCGGGTGCTTTGGAAAATAGCTGGACCCCCTTCCTCCTCTCTGGGGCAGCCCCTCAAATACTGGAAGAGGCTCTCCTGTCTCCCCTGGTCCTTCTCTTCACCAGACCAGCCAGGCCCAGTTCCTGCAACCGTTCATTGTATGTTTCAGCCTCCAGTCCCCTAATTGTGTGGCTTCCCCTTCCGTCCCCCTCCGCTCGATCACTTACAAGGTGGGTCAGGTGAAAATGCGGCTTGCTCATTTATAGCTTGAAGGCTGCGTTTACACAATGTAGTAAACCCACTTCCTGAATCCACCCTGAGGTTAATGGAAGGTCCCGGGCCATTCGGCAGGCTAAGCAAAACCCAAACTAACCAGATTCAGCCTGCTTTGCAAAGGCAGCTGCTTGATTTTGCCTCTGACCTGGTTAAGCTGCTGCACAGACCTTGGATCGGATCTGATCTGGTTAAGCTGCTGCACAGACCTTGGATCCAACCTGGTTAAGCTGCTGCACAGACCTTGGATTGGATCTGATCTGGTTAAGCTGCTGCACAGACCTTGGATCAGATATGATCTGGTTAAGCTGCTGCACAGACCTTGGATCCAACCTGGTTAAGCTGCTGCTAGACCTTGGATCCAACCTGGTTAAGCTGCTGCACAGACCTTGGATCGGATCTGATCTGGTTAAGCTGCTTCACAGACCTTGGATCCAACCTGGTTAAGCTGCTGCACAGACCTAACCAGACATAATCAGATGCAGGAAGGGGTTAGTGAAGGGACAGGGCTGACATATAGTTCTCAATTTACGACCGTTTGTTTAACGTCCGTTTGAAATGACAGCAGTACTGAAAAAAATGCCTTGCAAGAAGTCCTCACACTTCTTGCAACCACCATCGTATCCCCAGAGTTATGTGATTGAAATTTGAGCTTTTAGCAACTGACATGTATTTATTGTGTTTAAAGGGATGTGGTGGCTTAGTGGCTAAGATGCTGAGCTTGTCAATCGAAAGGTCGGCAGTTCAGCGGTTCGAATCCCTAGTGCCGCGTAACGGGGTGAGCTCCCGTGACTTGTCCCAGCTTCTGCCAACCTAGCAGTTCGAAAGCAGGTAAAAAATGCAAGTAGGAAAACAGGGACCACCTTTGGTGGGAAGGTAACCACGTTCCGTGCGCCTTTGGCGTTGAGTCATGCCGGCCACATGACCACGGAGACGTCTTCGGACAGCGCTGGCTCTTCGGCTTTGAAACGGAGATGAGCAGTGCCCCCTAGAGTCAGGAACGACTAGCACATATGTACTTATGTATTTACCCAAGTTATAGCATCCCTGGGGCCGCCATTTGCAATCTTCCCAGCCAGCTTCCGATAAACAAAGTCAGGGGAAGCCTGATTCGCTTAGCGACCATGTGATTCACTTAACAACGGCAGTGGTTCTCTTTAACAATTGCAGCAAAAAAAACCCCAAAAAACCAGAAAAGAGTTAGTTCACTTAACATGGTTTACCGATGGATGATCCTGGCCCAGTCGTGGTTGTATGTCGAGGACTATTAGCAACCTTCTTCAAAGTCTGTACAGATAAGTCTTTGACTTACTATATCAGTGATGGCTAACCTTTTTTGCCGTCGCGTGCCAAAAGCGTGGGGAGCGTGGGTGGGTTGCGTGCGCACATGCCTACATCCATAATTCAATGGGCCCCGCCCCCATGCATGTGCATGTGACTCCGCCCCCCTGCACTCCCCACACTTTTGGCACGCGATGGCATGGTGGGCCCATTTTTCGCCCTCTGGAGGGTTTCCGGGGGCTGGGGAAGGCTGTTTTTGCCCTCCCCAGGCTCCTAGAAAGCATCTGGAGCCTGGGGAGGGCAAAAAACAGGCCTTCCGATCCCACCAGAAGTCGACAAACGGGCCGTTTCTGGCATCCGGGGTGGGGTGGGGAAGGCCATTTTCACCCTCCCCGGGCTCCTAGAAAGCCTCTGGAGCCTGGGGAGAGTGAAAAACGGGCCTTCCCCATCCCGCTGGAGGCCCTCCGGAGGCCGGAAACAGCCTGTTTCCCGACTTCCGGAAGGCCCGAAAATCAGTTGGCCGGCGCATGCATGCACGCTGGAGTTGAGCTAGGGCAATGCTCGCGTGCCCACCGATATGGCTCCGTGTGCCACCTGTGGCACGCGTGCCATAGGTTCGCCATCACGGTACTGTATAATTCATTTAACGAGCGTCTACCATGACACTGGAAAAAATGCCCTTTTCTCACACTTACGACCGTTGCCAGATCCCCCTGTGGTCACACGATCCAAATTCAGGGGCTTGGCAACTGGCATGTACTTACGACGGTCCCGCGGTCACATGATCTCCTTTCGACCAGCCAAGTCCACGGGGGAAGCCAGATTCACTTAAACGACCGTTATGACTTGACTTAACACGACGGCAGTACATTCGCTTAACCGCCGTGGCCAGGAAGGTCGTAAAACGGGGCAAAGCGGCTCCCTTTAACCAGTGTCTCCCTTAGCAAAGAGAAACGTTGTGGCCATAACTCGAGGACTACTGGACGTATTTACGCAAAGTGAGAACAGAGCAAAGACCGGCCAGCAGAGGGCAGCCTGGCGCCATCCGACAAAAAAAAATAATTCTTGGTTTCCGGATTGCAGCAGCTGAGATTCCCACCACCCCCTCAACCGCCTGCCACCCCCTCCTCCTCCTCCCCTCCTCCTCCTCCCCCGTGCAATTACTCAGCCCCTTTCCTGTCAGCGTAGTAGCAACTCAGAAAGCAGTTCCTGCTTGCTTGCTTGCACCCCTCCCTGCTCAGCCTGCACCAGCTCTCCATGCTGCAGCTTTGCAACTTAACTTCCCTGCGTGCATGGGGAAGCCCTTGCGGGGATTCCTGTTGTCTTCATTTAATGAAAAGAAGGACCTGGGTTGACATGAGAGCAGCGCCCCCCAATATTTGAGGGGCTGCCCCAAAGGGTAGAACAAGAAGCAACGGGTGGAAACTAATCGAGGAGAGAAGCAATTTAGAACTAAGGGGAAATTTCCTGACAGTTAGAACAAATTAACCAGTGGAACAGCTTGCCACCAGAAGTTGTGGATGCTCCAACACTGGAAGTTTTTAAGAAGATGTTGGATAACCATTTGTCTGAAGTGGTGTATTGTTTCTTGCCTGGGCAGGGGGTTGGATTAGATGACCTCCAAGGTTCCCTTCCAACTCTGTGATTCTATTCTGTTCTAAAGAAGGTGGGGGGGAGCGGGGTCATCTTACTTTCCAAAGTACCTGAAGGCAGGACAAGAAGCAATGGGTGGAAATTAATCAACCTGGAATTAAGGAGAAATTTCCCGAAAGTGACAATTCACCAGTGGAACTGCTTGCCACCAGAAGACCTCCGAGGTCCCTTCCAGTGCTACCATTCTATGCTTCTAGGAACTTGGGCAGGGGATGGACTAGAAGAGCAACTGGTCACCCACTGGTGGTCCGCGAGAAAATTTTGGTGGTCTGCGGAAAAATTATTTGCATTTTTTTATATTGCACTCAATCAGGGGTCCTCAAACTACGGCCCCTGGGACAGATACGTGCAATGAACGTTTGTGTTGCTGCAGAGAGTCCCCTTTGGGGTCTTCTTGTGAGGGTCGGAGG